TAAAAAGCTCAACCTGCTCAATCGTAGTGCCGTGTAATGATGGAAGCTGCAATGATGGCAAGGTTCTCTTCTGCGCGCGATATGAATGCAGAACACTCTGGAGGTACGGCTCGCTGTTGGGAAGAGACAGGAATTGGGCTTGCCCATCAGCGCGCGCCGGAAGCAGGGGAACGGGTCGTGTCGTGTCTCGCTTGAACTTCTCCCAAGCGAGACTCACAAGTTGGGTAACTTGCTTGATGCTCTCCTCGAAGAAAGCTGCAGTAGTGTCAGACAGCTTGCTATGCACTTCCAATGTCTTGTTCTTTTGTTGCTCAAGTTTTGCGAGGCGACGACAGACTTTGGCTTGCAGCATCATCGTCAGCTCAGGTGCCAGCTCCCCAGGGCAGTCGCGCAGAAGCTCGACAAGCACAGTGATGATCAAGAACTTGTAGTAGACTCTTCCAACCTCGCTTCCTAGCAAGAGCTGCAGCTGTCTCTGGATACCTACACGTATTGCCATCCAGAGAGGCAACCTCCGCCACGGCAGTTCTGCGGCTTCAATAACGGCATCGTCGCGAACCCGTTTCCTCAAGCGAGGAACACTTTCGTCTACCGAGGACCCGATGGACTCGAGCAAGGGTATGAGAAGGTGCGTTATGAGCCTTGGACTTCCTGTATCTCGCGATTCGACGATGGGAGTTTGCGATTTTGTCACGAACGCCTGGAAGCATCTCAAGGGCTCCATGCTGCCCTTTTCCAGAAAGTCAGCTAGCGCGTGCTGGAACGACGGCTTCTGAAACTCAAGGAGTGGTATCTGCGCCGAGCAGTCCGGGAAATCGCAGATAAGGGCGCCTTCGCTAGCCAGGACCTCGGCAGATGGGGGCGATATCTCGAAAGCTTCGAACACAACAGCTTCGATTTGGGCACTGTTGCAAAGCAGATCAGCTGCAGATTTCATGCCACATTGGGGACCATAGGCGGCTGGCATACCTGGCATGATAACGAACGATCAGCGCAGCGTTCTGTTCTGCGACATGCAAAAGAAGCGGTTGCTCCTGGTCAAAGTTGCGAAGCTTCGAGGTCAGCGACAGCTTCTCGAGCCGACCGTGTATATGGAGAAATTGATAGCGATGAAGATACTGACGAATGGCGTGCCAGGGAGATGTTTGTTCGTGGCCAGCGAGTCGGCTCAGCGTATCCGTAGCATGAACGAGTCGGACGACGATGTCATCACCGGTGCTTTCGATGTTGGCATCCTGTTTGCCAGGAAGCTGTGGTGGCAGGACGAGGTGGTTGAACACTTCCTTCAACACAGACATAGCGAAAGATGGGAATTCCAGAATCCAAGACGAAAGACTCAAAACTCAGTCGACAGCAGGGGGCACTTTCACACAAAGTCCTTACGAGCAGCTAGATACGTTGAGCATATAAGCCAAGTCGGAAGTAACTGCAGGTTTAGCGCTGCTACGTGATCGTGGCGTATACAAAGTAAGCAAGACGGCGACACGCCAAGCCATGCAGCCCAATAGAGTCAAACCCTTTGATCGAGTTGATGAAAAGCAGATATTCGCTTGTTGTGCCACAATGAGTGATTTTCGTGATTCTTCTGGGTGTTGCGATTAGCATGCATCGTTGTTGGCGTAATAGCCATTACCCCGCCGACAATGGCCAATGGTTAAGGCAAGGATGCAAGTGACAATGCAGAGGGGCCTCAGTAGCTCAAAACAAAGCTTGCAGTACGATAAGTTGGTACGTAACGAGTTTGGTTTCCATTTTGATCACGATACACAACGTCAAACAGCTTTCCGCGTGAGCGTGGGGCCTACTTACGGCTTCCTGATCAACGTATCTGGTAGCGAAGGCGGATCTTGTCGGTCAAATCAAGAAGATGACACTGTGATTGCGCGACAGTGGGCTATTGCTATCTCTGCATCGGCGCTCTTACGTCATGTAGATATCCGTCAGATCTGGTGCGAAGCTTGCATCCGTTCGACAAGACGCATGGTATGCTCCCTGGCCCAGCATGAAAAAAGCACTATGACAATCTTCCATGTCGGTAATCATTAATGACTCCTCATGAGTCTGCGTGCCAAAGCACAGGCGTAGAGAGATAGCCAACGATCGCCAACAAGTGGTGATCAAGATGATCTTCAAAGGCAAGCTAGACTCCTCATCAGTTTGAAAAACTATCATCCACGACAATGAGGGACAACTTAACTTGGGTTCTGCTTGCTCTTGATATCTTACCCACAATGACACGCGATTCGATGATGTGCTGATCTGTTCGCTGGACCCTGCCATGCTGCAAGCCAACCCAAACACTGTGCCTGATAACATACAGTGTTCATTGCTCACACGACGATCAAAGCATCCTTTGCTCTGTACGGAAGACCGTGTCATTCGCCGAACATAGCTCACATGCTCTGATACCCGTGGACATTTCTACTGACAAGTTTGCTTTCCCAACAGCACACGACTAAGTGAAGTATGCGAACATGTAGCTTGTGTATGCAATTCGTGCCTTGAGACACACGTATAATAGCCCGCTGAGACATCAAGATTATCGGATAGTCCTGATGACTAGTATGGGACTTTGATGCTATGATGATACCAAAGGCATATCTACCTGCTTCCCATCCACACGTCCGATCGCTCGGTTTTGGGTTTACACTCCACCGTCGCTCTTACAATATACCCTGACAAAGCTGATGCATTGCTTTCCGCTTTCTCTGTACCCAATTCTGATGATTTTGATCAACGAGTTGTGCTGATGCAGCGCATTCGTTAGAACACGATGAGTTGCGTGACTTGTTCGTTGCCGCCGTTGCAAAGCGTTTTAGCGTGCTGAAGTCAATCCGTCCTTTGGCGATCGAATCATGACGTCTCTATTTGAGTACACATCTGGCGGCCGGCCTTCTACCCAGTGCGCCGCATATATCTGATAGGAGAAACACCTGCAGTCATGGACTGACTTACCCATATCTCGGAAACCGAGGCGGAGAAACATCCAGACGACACACATACACAGTTGATATGGTTGAGTCATTCCATTTTCCTGCCCTTGTTGCGACGGAATCCATAATTTTGCGTCTGTCTAACCCACAGCCCTGCACGACGCATGCAAGCGACGAAGTAGACAGACAAGCGATGCATATCTTATGATGATACCTACCTTGGAACACCCGTGCGAAGACCAAGATTACTTCCGAGTTCTCCTTTTTACGCCATTACAGTTCCACAACGGAGTTGTGCACACAGAGTGAGTTGCAGAGATAAAATACTGAAGTGCAGGATATCGCGTGACTGGATTCTGTCGCTGCCGGTAACTTCGAATCAATTTGAATAGAATATGATAGTCGTCACTGTTGAGTTAGCACGCATTAATAGCGACAAACTGCGGGACGGAGCGGAGTGTGTATGGCACTTAGGCGGGCGAAAGATGTCAAAGTCAGTTTGCAGTCACTCTTATCAGTTCATCGACTCATCAATAGGAGCAGTGCTGTTCTCGGAGCGCGCGCTTTGGCATATTGACAGCTTGGTGCTGTTCTGTTGTGCTGTGATGCTTTGAAGTAGACGCTAGTGGTTTCCCATTGTCACGGGAAATGTCGACGCGTGCCCGTGCGGCCCCACGTACCGGCGGCTACCAGCGAAAGATCGCGCGGCACTTGACGTGATCCGCACAACGAAGCGAGCCTAGAGGGGAGCGGCTGCAGGGTACTGCTGTCGCTAGCGGGTTCCCTTTCTCTTGAACATGTCGATCCAATCCGATCACAACAGTCATCAAGGCTGTCGCCAGCACGGCTGGCTTCCAGGTGCTTTATACGTAAGACAAAAGCTTGTAGAGTGAAAGCACAGCGTCAAGTGTTCACATGTGAAAAGTAGCGTCGTCGGGAACGTCAAACATAAACGAGAACTGGACGAGGACCCTGACTTTGCGAACGAAAGAACAGTCCCAGATTCGGCGCCGGAAGTGAGGCTCATTGGCAGATTCTTCATTGTGGACTGTGGACCCAGGGCAGCTTGCGACAAGCGAAAACGACCCCGCACAGTGCTTGGCCTTGGTTGCGTGCCAAGATCAAGCATAATTTCCCCACCAACGCACTACACCCTCGATTTGACGCACCACAACGCATTGAAAATCATCAATTTAGCATTTCCAGTCGTCGCATTAGTTTTTTTTTCCCGAGGAGATCCTTTTTGTTCGAAAACTATCGACATATACAATGATGATGGCACAAGGACATCAAACAGTTGAAGGGGTTTGCTAGCCGATGCTGACGCGAAAAGGAAAATCAACCAGTAGTGCAGCCTGAAGCTGTCATCTGTAACTTGACAGGTCAAGTAGCCAACGCGCTATTCCCTTTGCAGTGACTTGCGGAGAGGAACGTTCGCAACCCCTAGCTCGCGTTGCCATGGACACTTCATCGAAACTACTGTTGAATTTCGATGGCGAAGATCAGTCGCACATTGAGGCCATCTTGGCTGTATGGCGATACACAAGAGATCTTCATTTGGGGGTATGGTGTGATGCAAAGTCTCAGTATTCGCACGTGCTACTATTGCATCGTGTTTGTTCATCCCACTACTGACATTTACATTGAAACAAGACACACTCACATTGCATTGCTTCCTCATACGCGACTGGAAAATTTTGTCTTCGATGAGTAAAAGAGACTTGGATAAGATCCTTCGAACCAATAAGCAAAGAGGAAATACGCGATGTTCTGCCAAGGCTGTGTGCGTACTGGTAGGTGATACAGTATGGGAACATCACGCCTACCGGTATCTCTATACGATGAGAAGCCAAGTCGCCCGTCGACAACTATCCACAAATAAGATCATCCCACAATCATAAATATAACAACGCGATCGAAGAAAGTGTCGGTCCGGGCGGCTAAACATCACTAGTAAACAGTCGTGGGACTCTCACGTTGTGGCGCGATCGTGGGTCGCTAGCGGCAAACGAATAGGTTATGTCTATCGGCTCGCCTACGCTGGACTGTCGATCATCTTCAAACATACGGGTGCACACTATCGAGGCTCAAATCGCATTCGCATGCAGCTGGTTACACATTGTTCTGTAACGGTAAGTTGAAGACGTCGACTAGGATGGGGACAATGTGGCAGACTCTTATTAGAGCATGACAGCGCCACCAGTGGTAATGCAATTTGTACACTTGGTGGGCTATACGTTCTCATCTCTAAACGGAAAACACAGGTTTGACAGGCTGGAAGTCTATTGCTCAAATTCGTTCGCATGATCGACCGCAGGATATATCGGAGACCATATCTGCGGGGTATAAAGTGTGGTAACGATGGATTGGAGCTGAAGCGTTCGTCATGGCGGGGTTGAATTCGATGCACAGCATCCAACCACAACCGGTTCTACGACTGTAACCGAACATATAAATGCCACGACCATATCAACAGTGGACTGGTCATCGCTAATCCCCAGAACCCTGTGCAACCTGAGACATTTTTCACATCAAAATGCCGCCCTCTGACCTCAATACCGGTGGCGCTTTTGACAACAGCGGAACCAAGTCTACCCCAATGACTTCATCTGATGCTTCCAGGATTCAGTCATCTCAGGTCAGTACCGCAAGTGAGATTTCCGACTAGCGCTGAATGCTAATCTGGGTTCAAGGCTCTCGGTGGGAAGGACATGTCTTCCGGCGGTTTCGCGACGCGTGCTCAGAGTGCTGGCGCTAAGAATGCAAACCAGGCGGGTACTAGTAAAAGGTAGAATGACATCAAGCAACGATATCTCCAGAAGTCAGATCATGTTGGTTTGGCACGCTCTCACTCGAATGTCAATACACGGCTTGCAATCTAAGGATTTCATCACAATGCAATCGTCTCTTCGCAACAAATGAATTTGCAACGTGCTGGCGCATCTTATGCTATAACACTTACTGAAGATTTCTTGGAGTTCACACTTTGATGGTTTGCGATCTGCTCCTTTTCTCAAATGGTAAGAGCAAACTGGCTGATACCGCTTCGTCAGAGGCGATAAGGGCTGAGCAGCGGTAAGTTGCGCTCTTAAGCTGCAGACGCCTGGGCGCATACGTCAAACAGGAGGCGACCGGACGCAGTAGAAGTTGCCTCTGGCACACTTGAGTGCGGGCTTCTTGGCAAGGTCCTTCAGCGTTCGGAAGATACAAAGTTGAGCAACAAAGCTCGCTCATCTGCGCCGCATGTCTGCAGTGCTTATATTCTGCTGTAGGGTGACGAAAAATGTAAGCGCGTCTCCTGTGTCACATGACCGCTTCATCGCACTAGTCCTAATGTGACCATTACAACATGTACATTTGGAAATGACCTCTTTCGGCTAGCGCACAGGTTCACCGGATTCGTTTCTCTCTACTATACCAGTCTACTCTGCATCGCCATGGTGTACGGCGCAGGCTGTCTCCAACACAGAGATGGGATAGAACCGTTCGGCTAGCGCAGTGCATGGGTCATCAGATCTCACATCCGTCAGCTCTTTGCTTGGATATATACGCAGTTGGAATTGCACACTTGCTGTCAAGCCATAATGCAGCCGTCGAATTTACACCCCAATGTGTGCTGGCTAGCTTGATCAGTGATGTACGGCGGCACAACCCATACAATCAGTAACCTAATCCCGACATTGTAAGCAGTCGGCAAGAATAAGTCGACTAAGAACGAGCAGCCTGCAGAGAATCAAACAATCACGGACAGCCATGATGTGTAAGCTCAGACTGATTCTACGAAGTGCCAGATGCTGCTCATGTACCGATGCTTTCGACGTACTGATCCAACGCTGAACCTCATGTAGATTCCCCTCAAACATAGGGCTATACAGTCACCCAAAGCCGATGAGCTTCTGGCGTCCCGTGATAAAGTCGTGGACATGCTTCTGGACCCTTTCGAATCGCACAAAGTTGCAGCTCTCACTTTCGAGATGATTGAATAGCGATGCTAAACGGACGAACTGACCGGTGCAGTCACGGTTCGGGCAGTGATACAGCTTTTCGCTATGGGCCGGCGAGCTCAAATGCTGGTTCAACCCTTGAAGATTACGAAACTCTCGGTGGCAGAGGTAGCACTCATAGTTGAAGCCGTTCCAAGTCGCACCTGTTGCAATATTCTGTGTACCAGAATCGGGGTAGGTAAGTAGCTTGTTCGTTACCAGACCACCACAGTCCCGCTGACTGATGGCCTGAAATATCGTTCGATGATTGGAATTCCCAGCTCGTGGACATGAGCCAGACTCGAGGTGGTGTGAAAGCCCGCTAGCCGAGGTCAAGGCAGTCTTGCAGAAGGGACGGGCAACATTCCTGCCGCGATGGGTGCTCGAGTTTAGATGCTTGCGACAATTAGTAATGCCTGATTTGAAGGTATAGACCAACCGTGTAGTGACTGTAAACAATGTACCATTCTTAATGCGTTCTCGTTCCGGAACGACTTGGCGCAGTCGCGGCAGTGGTATTGCTTGTAATGATCTAGAGCGCTCATGTGCTAATTGGCAGACAACTCCGAACGAAATCTCCTGTCACAGACCTCGCACTCGAACTGAGGCTCCCAGTGTCCCGTGTCGTCCATGTGTTGTTCCGCCGAGCGTCGGGTGAGGAACTCTCGATCGCATGCGTCACATCCGAATCGTGGACCCAGTGGTCAAGTGCATCCATGTGCTGGATGGCGGCATGCTGGCTGCCAAGCTCCCGGTCGCACGTTTCGCATTCGTTGTCGTAGTACATGTTGGATTGTCTGCTAGCTGTCGAAAAGTCGAGGTTCAGTCAGACAAAGAATGGTCGATTGACGGACCCCCCAACAGTGAATGTCAGCCAGCGGGGTAACGCGACCTAAACGTGGCTGCCTCATCTCTTATTGAGCGAAAGGTGCGGGGTCAGCCTGTGAGCTGTCAGATCGCTTGCACTTGCTATCTTTCCACCGTTCATGTTTTGTCTGTTGCGGTCTGTTAGGGCCTTTATCCTGATCAGGCATGGTGTTTATGATCCAAAACAAGGCTTGACACCGCCTGGGCCGAGCTTCCGGCATTAGCGTGGGGTCGCTTGCGACTGCTCACGCCATCCTTGAAGCCAGGAGCTATGGAGTCAGACCGAGGCTGGACTAACATCTTATCGCTAGCTTCTACAGTCATTCCAGCCGATCGGTATGTGGCGTATAGGAGTACATGGTAGGCCTCAAGTGCGCGCCACCATGATCGGAGCATGCACCCGCTAAGAGGTCTGGCTCCCTCTTTGCACAACAGAGAAGTAGTTGTTGATGCATCTGTAGTGCCTACAGTACTGGCTGGTAGACTGTTTGATGCCCACTCGTGCAGCAGGATAACGCTCTCCTTCCTTTGTCACAGCCGTTATCTTGCGAGGTTATGCTACTGCCTGGTCGGAGACGTGTCATCTGCTGCAAGTGGGTGCGCCACACAGCAAGTCTCTGCCAGCACAAGACAACCTTATCGTTCATCTCCATGAACTGGTAGTTGTAGATAAGCCGTTCTGATATCGCCATCTGATTGTCTCCACGCTTTTGATGCGAAGCACACGAGCTCAATCTCTGATCAGGTCAGACTATAATTCCATCGTCGACCTTAGCTCGAACCTGGCAAAGTTTTGCGACTTATCGCTATGCCTCTGCTGAGTGTCGAGGCAACACTTTACCTCTTTCACCATATCATGCTGCCTCCAGAGCTGCCACAGGAGAGCGACTGGAAGGCAGAGTATGAAGATGCACTACTCGACACGACAATAGAAGTTTTCCGCACGTTCGCCGAGATGGTACGGACTGAGCAGCTACAAGTAGCTAGGTATGTGCATAGACGTTACTGTCTTCTAGAAAACCCCGTTGAGAGTACAATTACGCGTCAAAAGTTTTGCAACGCTAGCGCCAAATCTCTCCCCCACCATCACCACCACCACAACAACAACCCACTATAACTATGTCAACACCGCGTATTTTTGGACGTGAGATATCGCAAAATGTACGGCGTAAGCCAAATATAAGTCTTGCCGAGCGCAATATAGCCATCGGGATGTGGAAAGCTAGCTGTACGATAGTAGAGGTGGCGGACGCGTGCGGGCGCTCGAAATCCACCATATCGCGCCTTATCAAGAAGGCCACCACAACGGGCACAACAGAAGACAAACCACGCAGCGGACGTCCCCAAATACTGTC